TTTTTTCTTGCGCGGATTCTTTTCTTTTTTGTGATTTCGCCAGTTGTGCGCTGGTTGTGCTGGCGCCAGCGGCGCGACAGGCAGCATCACTCGAGGCGCTCTTCGCCAAACAAGAGGCGCCGGCGCATGCAAAACCGCCGTGGCCAGCGTCCCGAGACCGCGTCCAGCTACTTCGTTCCACAAGACGACAAATAAATAAATAAAAACGGACACCTCTCTACTGTGAGATGGGTAAAAAGGAACAGGCCCCCGCCCTTGCGATCTTTGTGCAGGGTTCTTTGTGGGTGTGGTCGGCGACTAGCCGGGGTCGTCCTCCCGGTGGGGGACTAGCACTAGCCGTCTTCCACATGGTCCCTCGGGTCCCTGCTGCTCCTAATCTCTTCGTACATCCTCCTGCTGATCTCCGCAAAGTCCTGCTCCCTCCCTCGTCTCGCCCTGCGCGTCTGCTCCGCCTCGCCGTCTTCTGCCCTGCGTCGTCTGGCGACGGGTCCTCCATAGTCGGTCGAGGTCGCCGCCCTCCTCGTGCCTCTTCCCAACGTTCCCTCGGCGGCCGATGCCGTCTGCTCCGGCTCCCCAGTCCCCGGGTCTCCCCTGCTCTCGTCTGCGCTAGTTTCTGCTTCGTCCTCACCGGCGTCTCTCCTCTTCCCTCTCCCCTTCTTGTATGCTTTGCACATCGCGTCGATTCCTGTTCGCGTGAGCACCAGCCTGAAGCCCGCCCAGCATCTGAACCGCTCCCTAAGTCGAAGGAGCATCATCAGTCTCACCCACTTCGCTCTCTGCCCACCGTCTCCGCTCCCTCCCGCTTCCACAAGACGACAAATTGGCAGAGAGAGTTCTTTTGTTTAAATTCTTTTTACTCCCTCTGCCACATCAGTCTCTACAGTCCCAGCTCCACTAATTTGGCTTGATTTGCCTTGATACTCTTGGCACGCTCAAGCTCATACTCAGAGAGAGGCTGTGTTGAGGACCCAGGTTGCCCTACCCTCTGCCTTTTTCTGGCTGCTGAGCAGGCAGAGCATCTCCAGCCAGCCACTGGAGGCTGCATCAGGGGAGGGGCTAAGCAGTGCATGTGCATGGTGGTGTGGCAGTCTTTGCAGCACAAGAGCTCATTCAGCCCTGCCACCTGCTCTCCCTGGGAGCAGGCACAGCAAGTCAGCCCACCCTCTTGCGCAGGAATGGGCTGCCACTTCTGCCCAGCTGTCAGAGCTCTGGTGGCTGTATCCTCAAAGTGATCAGGGGGCAAGTAGGTGGGTTCACTGGCCCTCCTGGTCTGTCCAGTTGGGATGCTTCTGAGAGGGCAGGAGAAGGCATGAATCCGTCGGACAGCTGGGTTGCCTGAGTACCAGTGAATGTACCTCCAGCCAAAGAAGACATACCACTTCTTGGGCTCACACCTCACCTTCCTGATTGGGTTTGGTTCTGGTACCCATGGGTTAGACTGGGCCTGTGATAAGGCCTCTTCCAGAGAGAGAGGGCTGAGCTCCGCTGCTGATGCTGGCAGCTGGTGGGTTGCGGGGTCGTCCAAGTCAACTAGTGGGCAGGTTCTGACCACCCCTCTGCTCAGCTCCACCATGCAAACCTTCAGAAGCCCAATAGTTGTTAGCTGTCTCTTCTGCAGTGCTGGCCAAAAGTCTGCCTCTGGCTCCTCTGTGATGCTAGCAACCCCAGCATTGTCCCACGCAACAAATCGCCACTTTGAGGGCCCGAGGGCCACAGGCAAGATGTATCTGTCATGGTACAGCATGAGAGAGCATCGAAAGTTGACTGATTGGTCTTCAGTCATCTCCCCTCCCTCCTCCAAGCAGAGCATGGCATTGGGCTGTGAGCCCCTGGTGTTGTCATCAGTGTGCTTGGTTACCGCGGCCGTCAAGCAGAAGAAGGCAAAGCGCATCATCCAAGCCACAAACCGTGTTGTGACCAAAGACACTGCTGCTGCTCTCATGATATCTGCATACTCCTTGCCATTGTCCGGTAGGGAGGTCTCTGATTTACGAGACTTGAAGCAGGCACGTGAGCCACGTACGAGAGTACCAGCTGGCATGGTGCTGCCCTCCGGGCGGGCGTAGTGATTCATGATGCAGTTGAAGCCGCCGTAGTCAACAGTCGGCTTGCTTTAATCCCCTTCCTCTTGGGTGAGCTTGAGCCTATGCCAGTTCCTGTCAACATACTCCATTGAGTGCTTGACCTTGAGGACTGCTGTCCTTAGGTGCTCCGGCCGCTTGGAGACTAAGGCGGCGGCGCCACAGACGTGGAGCTCAGGCAAAGCAGCATAGTCGGCACGTTCTTCTTCACTGATGGTGTTGACAACAGCTGCGATGTCTGAGGCCCGCTTGGCATTGCGGGCAGCTTTACTGCCTCGGGGCATATATGCGCGGGCCACAGCGCGGCGAAATGCGCAATGCCGATGATGGACGGTCGATTACTAATTGAGACTTTCACAACGCATTGTCGTGAACACGTTTCGGGACGGTTTGGAAAAATTAAATGCCTTGCGCGGCCCATTGTCGCTCCTGGGCCTTTCCATTTGGTATTTTCGTGCCGCTTCTCCCTCGGACGCAATAAAAGGCGCACGGCAACAAGTTGCTCGGTCCTTGGGAGCCGCATACTGAGGAGGAGAAGCAGTTTTTCTGCGTATCGCAGGGAAATGGACCCGCAAGCGCGTGCGTGTTCCGTGCTTCCGTCTGCCAGGCGGCAGCATTTCAGGTCTCCCACCTGGCTGCCCTGGCGGCACACCTTGATCCTTGTGGACGCCATTTGAGCAAGCACGAACTGTGGGTGGACGCAACAGAGTTTATTTCCGGCTCCCGTGCTAGTGGCAGTGCGCGCGAGTCCGGCGCGGAGTGGGGCCGGCGTCGGTGCACACATGAAATAATTTATCCTACGGGACTAGGCACGCGACTGTGGCGCGAACTGCTCTTAGGCGCGAGATAAAAGAAAGCGGAGGTGACAGAGGCCGGAGGACTCCATCGCCCCGCCCCGCACGCAAAGCTGCTGGGGACCAGATGCAACACGTCATCCGACCGCCACCCGCACCTGCTCATCGATCTCGACGCCGCCACGAGAGAGCGCCTCACTCAGCACGTCGGCCGCCGCCCAGTCCCACTCGGTGCGCCTAAGGCGTTTGACATCCGCGCCGACCGTGAGGCATCTTGTGCGGGTCACCTGCCCGAGGGCACCGGCGGTGAGGCAGAGAGGGCTCGGCCGGATCACGGTCGCTGCTGGCATGTGCGCAGCTGCTGCAAAGCGAGGGCGCGTCAGCTCCGAAGCGGACGGGTCGGCGGCACAGCGCAGGTGAATCACGTAATCAATGTGCACACCTGCCAGTTGGCGGTGCCTCGCTCGGCGCAAGTGATATCCGCGACGAACCAACGAGGGCATAGTTTGAAGAATATTCTGTACAGCCTCTGAAGCCACGACAAGGCGCGCGATACACACACCATGGCGTTTTGAAAAGAATTCATCTGCGCGCTCCGATCCAGGCTACTTTAACATTGGGTTGTCTGTTTTCTTTCTTTCTTTCTTTACTTTAACATTAGTTGCGCAACAGAGTTTATTTCCGGCTCCCGTGCTAGTGGCAGTGCGCGCGAGTCCGGCGCGCTCTCGAGCTGCTCTCTCTCTCTCTTCTCTCCCCCCCTCCCTCCCTCCCTCCCTCCCTCCATTCGTTCTACGGCCGCGCTTCAGGGACGGACGATATCGTCCGTCCCTGAGGCAAAGTTGCTTTCAACGGTTCCGTCAACGATAAAGAAGAGAAAAGAAGTTCGACCCGGGACCGTCCGCGAAACGTCCCTCGGTCGCACTTCGGCGACAGTCTCGCTTCGGCCTCTCGCCGCTGGTACTGAATATGCGCAACATCCATCTGTCCACAACCAATTGGTAGAGCACACCTCGTCTCTGCGCCACAATGGCTGCGTGACGGGCAAGCTCCCAGTGTGGGGCAGCTTGTGGATTCATCACAGCGTTGAGATCAGGATGGAGCGAGTTGGACCACTCAGAAGCTGACCTGAGCAGTGCCACTGTCAACACGGTCAGGGCAGGAAGGGCGGACATGGACCCGCTGCGAACTCCCTTGTCTGGGCAGTAGCTGCCGGCCGTGAACCCCTTCCCGGACCAAGAATAAACGTGCATGTGCGATGCGTGCCGGCGTACGTGGAGCGACCGTTTACTGGCAGATGGATGTGGAAGTGCGGGTGTGCCGCCGTCTCGGTGTGTCCACTCCTTAGGAGTGTTGACGCTACCTGAGTTCGGCAGCCGCCCGCGGTGATCATGTGCACCTGGTGCACGCGAACTCGCTCGCGGCTCAGCTGCGGCTCGGCTCCGGCTGTCGGTGTCTCGCGTCTCGCTCCTCTGTGCGGCCGCATGTCGACGTGACATTACTCGGCTCTGTCCTCTTTGGTCTGTCCACAGCTCCCTACCAATGCCTGCCCTGCTGCTCTCTGCTGAGACTCCCCCCCCCCCCCCCCCAACGACCACTGTGCAGGCGAATGCCGCTCACTGCCGAGACGACGCACCAGTCGTTTCATTCGACCTCTCTAGCAGAGCACCACACAAGCCCACAGAAAACCTAATTTTTGAACACGGAGGCCTATAAGTGCCCCACCCGTTTTTGTACTCGTGCGTGTGTGGTGCGGACTGTGGGGCTCAGCGGGGGCAGCCTCCCTCCCTCCCTCTTTCCCTTTCCTGCCTGCCTGCCTGTCTCTGGTCTGTCGGAGTCTGACTGTCTGTGTGAGAGGGTGCGGCCCGCTAGAGTTCCACCCAACAGCGCGCGCGCCAGGTCGTCTGCCGCGCGGCTCGCCGTCACTGGACACTGCCAAGTCCTCTCGCTCACGTGAGCGGACGAGCTGGGTTGGGCACAGGTGCGTGTGAGGCACACTCTCACGGCGCTGGTGGCTAGAGGCCACTCAGCAACTCGTACGGCCTACGAAGGAGTGGGGCCGGCGTCGGTGCCCAGATTAAAGAAAGCGAGCGCGGATACACAGCGCCGTGGCCAGGATACACAGCGCCGCAGGGAGACGCAAAGGACCTGGGGCGGCCGCGGTGCCAGGCCGTGGCCAGCCCGTGGCCGTGCCCTCCGCCGCCGACAGGACTCGAGGTCTCATGGCCGGCGCGGCGAGCAGCAGCTGGGACGAGGGACTCGGGAGCGGGGAGGCGGCCGGCGCCGCCGACGCGGGCGGCGACAGCATGGACATAGAGATCAGTGGGGACAAGGCGCGAGATCCCAGCGGTAAGAAGCTGTCTCGAGCGCCGCTCCCCGAGCTCCCAGCCCAGCTCAAGAACCTGCAAAGTGTTGGCCGCAACTATGTGGGCGCCACGATGGAATCGAGCGTCATCTTCAGAGACTTTGTGGCGAGCCGCGCCAGGCGCGCCGCTAATGTGTTCGGCGGAGACGAGGCGCATGCGGCGTGGGAATGCCTCCTCGAGAACCCCGAGGTCGTGAGAAAGGTGTACCTCGAGCTGTGCGAGGACTACGACGCTGAACGCCTGCCCGAGCTCTGCTGCCATATCAACGACATACTCGTCACGAACACGACCACCCCGTTCTTCGAGCTGCGGGAGCGCGCTGCCTACCTCCGCACCTTGGTAGAGCACGGCAGCAGCATGAGCGAGGAGCACCTGCATCGCTGGGACGCGGCGCCGTACCCCACCCGCGAGAGCCTGGAGATTGACGCGCTCGACATGCTGGTGCAGGCCCTCCCTCGCTGCAAGGGGGCGCCCAGGTCGGTGCTCGAGCTGGCGGGGCTGGCGGAGAAGCACGAGTGCAACATCTGCCTCCTGCGGGCCGTGAAGCTAGCCTCGGACGAGCAGATAGCCGCGGGAGAGCCCACCGTGCGCTTCCTCTTCCGAGGGCCGTGCCGCCACGGCCTGTGCGAGGACTGTGCGCGGCGCGATGCGCAGCGGCAGCTGCCGGGCGTGGCGCGCGACATAACCGCGGCGGCTTCCCGGGGGGAGCTCAAGTGCGTGGTCTGCTCCGCGGCGGTGGAGTGGCCGGGCCGCCGGAGCGCGCCGTACATCTACGAGGAGGCGGACGGGAGCAAGGGGACAGGGCCCCTTCCAGGGGGGGGGTCGCTCCTTGACTTGACGAGGTATCTTTTACCCAAGGCATTGGTGGGGGGCCCCATCACCCCGGAAAAAGCGAGGGTCCTTGAAAAGGGGGACTTCCAGGAGCCGCCAGTTTCCCCCCCCCCCCCCCCCTTGGCCCCCCCCCCCCCTTCTCGGTGACACCTCCCTCCCCTCTGCGCGCCCCTCCCCCCACCCTCGCACCCCTGCCCCCGCACTCCCACCCGAATGCGGGGCCGTGCCCCCCAGAACAAGGGGCAGCCCTCCCCGCGTCCCAACCTGCGCTCACGGGGAGAGTGGCCCCTCGTCTGGCAGTGCCACCGGTTTCCGCTGTACGTGGCGGCGCGCTCGGGCTGCTCCACCACGGCCATTAGCAAGCTCATCGACGCCTTCCCTGCGGCCGCCTCCGAGCCCTGGAGGGCTGCGCACCCAGCGTGTAGCACCCGTCATCCGTGGGGAGGCCCAGAGAGAGGAGTGTGCGTGCGCGCGCGTCTCACCCGGCTGCCGCCCCGCCGCCAGGGCAACGGGCAGCTGCCCCTCCACGGCGCGGCCCTCATATCGACCTCGCACGAGGTCGTGGAGGCCCTCATTAGAGCTCATCCGGACGGCCTCACGGCACAAGACTATGTGAGTGGCGGCTCTATCGCGCGCGCACACACCCTCTTGCCGCCCGGCCTCGCCTCCGCCCGGCCTCGACTCTCACCGCCCGCGCCCAGGCTCACTGTCTCACCCGCCCCCCCAACCCCGCCTCCTCAGTATGGCCGGACGCCCCTCCTCTGTGCCGCTGGCAACCCCAGCCTCAAGGTCATAGAGTCCCTGATCCTCGGCCCCCCGGGAGGCACCGACGATTTGGGCAAGCCGGCCCTGCGCATCGCGGACTATAACGGGGCGACACCGCTGTCCTTGGCGTCGGCAAATGGTTACGTCGCCGACGGCGCGGAGAACGTCATGCGACGCATGACATAAGGGAAGGCGCCGTTAGGACCTCGCTCCAGCTCATGCCGTGTGCTGAGAGCGCGAGCGTGTCCGCCAAGTGCGTGTAGAAGACACGTCCTCGAGCCCGTGTTCTGTAGATACATGACAGGGACATGCTCATGCAGAGCCGAGCAGCGCGAGCCGTCGAGTCCGAGCGTCGCGGAGCGATGAGCTGCAACTGCCTTTGTGTGTGTAGCTGTTTTAAACTGTAAGGGCTGCTCACAAACAGGAAGGGTGAGCAGGAGAAGAGTGTACGAGAAGACGAGTGGGGTGTTGGGACACGACACTGACATGCGAAGGGGCCACAAACAAGCAAGAGAGAAGAGTCAGACAGGAGTCAGACGAAGAGAGACCCAACGTGCAAGCTGCAACGACTGTGCGCACAACTCATAGTCATACACCGTATACGACCCGTGCTCTGTGCCTCCATACCCCATGTGGGATGGGGGTTGAGCCTCCCTCCCTCCCCTCGCGGCAGGCTCTGCGACAGTACGGGGGTGCGACAGTATGGGGGAGGGAGCGGACGGCCCAGGCGGAGAGGGGGGACATGCCTGGGTGCGCTGCTCGCGGCGGACGCGGCCTCTCAGTGCAGTGAGAGGCACGCCAAGGGAAGGGGAAAGGTGGCGCGTACACAGCCCTCATGGCGCTGTGCCGGCATCCATGGCCAGGGTGAGGACGTAGTACATGTCGGCGTCGATGACGAGGCTCGTGTCCACGAACCGGAGGAGGCCCGTGTAGCCCTGAGCCACGAGCAGTCCAAGGTGGCCAAGGGCGCCGCGCGGCCCGTCGATGCGAAGACGTTTCTGCTCGGCGGCAAAGGCGCTGCCGGAGCCGGCGGCGTCAGACGACAGCTGGCGCCGCCCCTCAGCCGCGAGCCGCTCGAGCTCCGCGCGCACAATGGCGCTTGGCTGGGGCGGGACCTCGGTGAGGTGGGCGGGGGGAAGGAGGCTCGCGTCAGTGGGCAGCTCGCCCGTCTCGCGCAGCACGGACGCCTCGCGCTCCCACTCTGGCACACAGATGGGCATGTCCGGCACGCCGCCCACGCCGGGCCGTGTCTTCGTGTACCTGTAGCCGTTGTTGATCGACACGAGGGTGGCCAGCGCCTCGTCAGAGAGCGCGAGCAGCGAGTCAGCAAGCGAGCGCGCCGCGCGCCGCACGCCGTTGGGCGCGAGGACCATTCGCCGGAAAGACTCAGCAGCCACGATCTCAGCAAGGCATCCCCAGAGGGTGCTGAGCACCTGCCAGATTGGAGGATGGGGAGAGGTGAGAGCGGGAGGTGGGTGGAGGTGTTGCAGACGAGGGACGTGCCGGGAAAGGTGTCTTGCGGCGGAGGCGCCTTGCGCGTGCCCCTGTGCACGAAGAGGACGCGGTTGCGGACAGCCGACCGGCCGCCGGCGTGGCACGGGCGGATCTCCAGCGGCGTCGGGTCGACCTGGTCGAGAGAGAAGTCGATCTCGACGGTCGAGATCAGAGGGCCGTTGGGGATGGTTCCGGCCGAGCCGGGCAGCTCGTAGGGGACGCCAGCCGTGCCCGCGAGGTTCAGCTCAGTGGTGACATGGCCCATGGACGAGCGGCAGACGCCGGGCGTGCCCTTGTAGAGGTTGCTCATGGCGTGGGCCATGTTGGCGACGCTCGGTCGCGCCCACCACCACCCTCCGGCGTAGAAGAAGGTGAAGGTGCCTGCGCGACAGAGGTCGGTCGGGAGGAGCAGTGAGGAGAAGGAGGGGCGGGGGGAGAGAGAAGGGAGGGTAGGGGGCAGAAGGGAGAGTAAGGGGGTGTCTCTCGTGGGGTGCGTCACCGGTGCTGGAGAGGAGGACGAGCGCGGCGGCCGTGCTGACCCAGCCCTCCGCGAGGTGAGGGTTGACGGGTAGAGGCAAATGCACATACTTGATGAATGGGATGGGCACCGCGCCGATGAAGACGACGGGCGCCCACACAGCCTGGAGGGAGATGAAGGTGACGAAGGTTGCGCTGGCTGCCGCGCCCGTCCAGGACGGGGGCAGCACCAGGGTGGTCGCCGTGGTCAAAGTAGACTTGCGCCGAGAAGCGGGGCATTCCGACCTGGGATGTGGGGGGGGGGGGGGGCCCGGCCCCC